CGCAGGTAGGACGTACGTACAGTCCCCTAGCGCCAAACACTATGGGGGCGTACGGTCCCCTAGCGCCACGCGCTATTGGGGCGTACGGTCCCCTAACAATAGCCTTATTCCAAATGCAATTTCTGAATAATTCCATATATTTAGATACGAGTGGGTTTTTATCTGATTTGTGATCGTTTTTCAAGATTATAAATTTTTTTATTTTTTTTCAATATCGGATGTTATGATCCAAATGTACAAATATTATGGAATGTATGTAGATCTAGATCTAGATCAAAATAACTGCAAACTTTTCAATACTTTCCAGTTCTATATTCATTTATGTTTATTTTGATATATATATATATATCATTTGACTAGGTGCAAGCATATTTTTTGAGTTTCACCAAAGAATATAAAGTTTTTATTTTCAAATTTTATCCGCATCCAATCAAAATTATGTTGCATAATCACCCCTTACAGGAACCAACGTTGAAAAATACATAAATGAACATTACAGATGTATTCTACAATTTACAATCCATACTGAAAATAAGGTAGATTCTATATATAATAGATCTAGATCTAGATCTAATATGTTGATGTTTATTTGAAGGCCATCTCTATTCTCACCCGGAGTGAGAATAGTGCAGGCGAGTCTTGTGGCTATTCTCACCCGGTGTGCGTTCACCAAATTTTGCGTTCACCCTAAACCACAGAATTCTACACTGTGATAACAGAAAAATTGTAGAATTCTGTGCCGTGAACAAACGTTCCATTACAATTGTAGCCTACTAAAAGCGTACAATTTTGTCTGTGGGCAGTGGAGAGAGAGAGAGAAAGAGAGAGAGGAATAGCGCGAGAATTTCCGGGCAAAACAAAATTAAAATGGCGACCCGCGTAGTTCGGCTCGATTCGAAAAGTTAAATAGCCGTAGCATCTTTGTAGACAACCAAATTTATTTACTTTTGTGTTTTAACATCATTTTTTAACTTTGTTTTGGTCAATTTGATCGTCCACACCGATAGACAGTATTCAGAAAGAGACAGAGAGAGAGAGAAGAGGGGAGGAGTTGATCTTGCGAGAACTTCCGGGCAGGTGAGAATAGCCACTTTCTTATTTGAATTTGTCACCCCAAAGACCTTTTAACTGCCCACTAGTCACCATCTCATTCGCCCTCCCGTAAAAAAAATCGCCCACAAGCCGAAAATAATACGTGGCGAATGAGTTAAACAGTGACAATGTCAAAGTATGAAGTGAGAAATGGCCCATGCTCAAAAGGAGACGGAGAGAGTAGGCCTACGTGGGACTTTGCACCCAGAGGGGAGCAGACTCGATGCTTCAACTTCCATGCATGGTTTGGGTGAACGAAATCACAATTGGGTGCCCACAATTGCTATCAATGCCGTTCAAAACTAGACATAGGGGCTTAGAACATCTCGCCAAACCGACGCTCACCTTATCAAGTTTTAGTCATCCGTTGATACTTGCATCCACCAGTCACTGGACAAAAGAAAAGTAAGAGGCGAAAATAATGTTATTATGACCTTTCACCCTTGCCTTTCACCTTTCGTGTGTATTTTCACTTGTAGAGGAAGAAAAAGGATAATTCGTTTTAATGGCCTTTAATTATACAATGTCTTGAAAAGATAAGAATACAAAGAGCACAGACCCCCTTTTTTTTTTTTTTTTTTGAACAATTGAATTGATTTGAAGGTGACAAGACAACGAGGATAGGGAAGTAACCAGTAGCCACTATGAGCGAATACCAAGGAGATTAAAAGCAATGGAGGATGCTCTGTCGGCGGCACCGCGCGCCTGATAGGAGCCCTCTCTCGCGGCGGAACTGCGGTCTACCTGCGCTGCGCGAATCCCCGACTCACGCACTGAAATCTAGATAAGAAAGAAGGTTTTATTCCGAGGTCCTTGAGATTAGGCAAGTCAATTAGTAAAAATGCCTTGCATATGTGTTGTATTTAAGTGTAAGAACCGATATGATGCTGCAGTGGACCGAAGTTTTCACAGTTAAGTTGTTTTCCTTTAAAAAAAATTGAATGAAAGTGTTTTTATGCCCCCAGCAACACAATTTAGATCATTAACATTCATAAGAGGATGGCTCCGGCGCTACCTGCCAAGGCCAACCCAGGCTGAAAGGGATACAACACCCCAGCAGAAAGACCGAGATACTCAATTTTTTAAAAGTATTCTTATTCTTTTATATATATATATATATATATATATATATATATATATATATATAATTATTATGTGTGTGTATGTATATACATATTATACATTTATATTGTTTTCCATTGTGTATGCAAATTAGATGCTACTGTTGTCTAAATGTAGATATCTGGAGGCTCCATTAGAATATGAAATCAATACTCAACAACAATAATGATGAATATTTTCTATGTTAAAGAAACACCAAACCATATCAGATGAGGGGAGAGGATTGGGTGGGGTGGATAAGAGTTTGAGTCTTGTTAGATAGAACTATACTCGGTTTGATTCTATTGTTGTAGTCTTCACCTAAGATCCCACAATCAATAGTTCCGGTTCACTTAAGATTCTGCTGTTAAAAAATAAACCAAACAAAGCAACATCAAATTTTAATACACAAGAGTCATCACTGAGATAAATTATCCCCTCCCCCCCCCCCCCCCCCCCAGAGTGTAATAAGGGACTAAAAACGCTACTCTCCATATCATACTTTACTGAACAAAACAAAAAAGAAAACCTTCAAAGGTCATCCACGCTCATGCATGCGATCACACCTCAAAAGGTGCTGTTATCTCTTTTTTTTTTTTTTTTGAAATCATTGTGCGCTCTACTTTGTGAAAACCAGGAAACAAAATTATTGTAATCAATAATATTATTATTTATAGACCAAGACATACTGTTAGCAATCAGATAAAGCTGGCATCGACCCTCTGTTGTGTTCGCTATTCCTTACACATAAAGTTAGTCATGGCACACGCCTAGAATCATGCAATCATAATATCTTAAATTCAGTTTTAAAGTATATTTTTATCCATTTCTATTATTAAATATTTTGGCATCTTGAAAGGTTATCTTTATAATTTGGTATGTTTGATAATTTTATGTTACTTGGACAAGTTTTCTTCTTATTTTACACATCTTTCTGATTTTTAAACTAGATTATAACATAAAACTTTTAAAGAATTGAATAGTCCGTATCACATACAGAATCTTTTTTTTTTCTCCCTGTCATTATCCGTCAGCCCGTCAGTTGATCACAATCTCTCTCTCTCTCTCTCTCTTCTCTGTCTGTCTGTCTGTCTGTCTGTCTGTCTGTCTGTCTGTCTGTCTGTCGGTCTGTCCGTCCGTCCGTCTCTCTCTCTCTCTCTCTCTCTCTCTCTCTTTTATTTAATTTTCCCCATTCTCCTTCGTCCCTTCCCAAAGCTCGCCCCTCCTCTTTCATCCCTGCTTCATTCCCTCTTCCTTGCGTGCATTCCCCCACCCCGCCCACCCCCACAACGTGGCCCAGCCCGATAAGATTCTATTAAAAGAACCGCCACAGTTCGAGATTTAGCCCACACTCGGCGGCCATATTTGATCCCCACCGCCGCGTACTGCTCGCGGCGCCGCGAAGAGAGAGAGGAGGCTCCATTAGTTCTAAACTCCTTGGCGAATATTTACTTCGCCACTCCCACTTTCCCAGTGCCTAATTCGTCAGTCTTGGGTGCCTAGTAGTAGTGTAAATCTATGGGTTCAGCTGAGGGAAGCGGGGGAGCAGCAGCCAATGATTAGGCCTACATGGCAGATGGCAGCTGAGGATAGTTCGTTCTAAAAATAGTATGTTATTTTTAGATTTTGCGTTTATCGATGTTCAAAAACCATAACCGGACATTTCACAGAATTAGCCAAGGCCTAGATATCTAGTGCGATTGTGTAGGTCTTGTCCTGAAGAGAGTAGGCCTGAACTCCTAAGCCTAAAAAAGACCACCGCCACAGACAGCTGACAACGAGAGTTGGCTACACGGTAAGCAGTGAAGAACAAGTGTAAGGCAGGCTATCTAAAAATTTCTAATTTTCTAAACTTTCTTTTGACGACAAAGCTGGACCCAAAAACAATACTAGATCTATACTATAGATCTAGATATAGATTTAGATTTCTTGTTCTAATCCAAATCTAGAAGAGTAGGCCTAATTAGTAGTATTTTAATTAATATAATCTAGATCTAGAGCTAGATTTCTAGATCTAAATCTAGATAATAATATAGATCTAGATCTAGATCTATATCTAGAATAGATCTAGATCTAGATTTAGATTTCTAGATCTAGAAATCTAGAATCTTATGTACTCCTAACGTTCTCTAACAATTCGCTTGTGTCTGGATTTGGTCCTTTTTCGTCTTTGGTAATTGTCATTGACCACAGAGATGAGATGTTACCGCAGACCCCTTGACATCTCGTACCAAGAGTAGATCTACTGACCACAGGACCACAGTGAAGAGATGAAAATTAAAATGGTATGGATGGGCATGTCACAAGGTCCACAAGACTTGCCAAAACTATCCTACAAAAAACCGTGCCGTACGCCGTACAAGGAAAGAGAAAGAGAGGAAGGCAGAGAAGGAGCAGGAGGACAACATTAGGATTAGGCCTACACAATGGACAGGAAAGATGACGGGCGACAATCTGAGGAAAGCACAGGACAAAAATAGATGGCGAGAGCTGGTTTTCAGATGCAGTTGGTGCCTCCACGGTTGCCCCAACCACTGGATAGAAAAAGAAGAATTGAATTATCATTGACGTTTAAAATTTTCTACTAACTCGGGATGCCCATTGGGACATGCGATTAAACGTAGAACGACGCAAACTATTTTTAGGTAAATGCAGCCATCTTGTTTGACGTCAAACCAGGATACCCCTCCAATCACATGACTACATCTAAATATAGCCAACCGCATGGCACCAGAGATGGAAGTGTCTATGTATATCAAGCTTTAAAATCTACCTCGCTGTTGGAAGTTCTGATGGCCGAATGGACAGCATGTCTGCGTTTGAAGTCATGCAATTGTTTTATGAGCATGGGATTGAATCCCGGTCCCGGAAGGTTGTATTTTTTTGGGGGGGGGGGGGGGGGGTTTCTTCTCTTCTCCTCCTCCCGACTGACCAACAGTTTGTCCCATAAATTATAATATGTTGCTTTGAAGTTTATTATATTAGTGATGAAGCATGCAGGAGGGGGGGGGGGGGGGGGGGGGGTAGATCTAATCCTCCAGCGTCTTTACAGCAGCAATTTTCGTTCAGTTTATTGTCTTTGCGTTTACTGTGTTTCAATTTCAAGCATCAGCGTTCTTAATCTTACTGTTCTGAGCGTCAACGATCTAGATCTAAGCAATCTATCCATCATGTCCAAGTACTAGGAATTCTGAAATGTTATTAACATACCGAAAGCATATCATTCCTTGCGGTACCTCCATAGCCTTCTTAAAATAATCTGTGGGTATCCCAGGAAGTGATGACATCACATTACTAAAAATAGCAGCCAATCAGGAAGATGTGTCATTCTATGTTGAACTGCATGTCCCTTTGGGGGATCGGGTTGGGTCGTGTTGGTTTGCTAGCCAGAATGAGGGCACAAAGCGGCTATCGTGGCTCAAGCTGATCACGCCCAATTCGTCGCCTCAAAAACAAACGTGGTAACTTGTTTTCAGGCAACTGAGTCGGGCGATCGACCAGACCCCACCTGACCTGGTCCCATCTGCAATTGGCACCTGGAATTAGAGTCATCTAGATTCTAGAATCTAAGCTATTTCAAGATGAGATATAAAGTCCCAAGGCCATTCTTCAGATCAGACCAAGGCCAAGCAAGGCAGTAATGATAGTAAATAAATCGCAGTGTCTATTCGGATACGATCCTTCTAAAGAACAATTTTTCCTTTTTAAAAACCTGTATTGCGTGTCGATTTATTCCAAGAAACGAAACATCCATAATTGGGTTTTTAATTTTATAAATAAAAAATGGAATGCATTTTTTTACAAATTGCAAAGATGCATTGGTCCAAAAAGAAAAAGAAGCCTGTCATTCTCAAAAAGAAAAAGACTCACAAGGTACGGTAACTCGCATTATTCATGCTAGGGTAGAAGGACACAGAGTGGACAGGAAAAACGATGGGTGACAATCTGAGGAAAGCAGAGGACAAAAATAGATGGCGAGAGATGGTTTTCAGATGCAGTAGTGCCCCCACAGTTGCCCCAACCACGGGATAGAAGAAGAAGAAGGACACACATATCTCATGATAATTATATAATATAGACACGCGACATGTGTCCGTAAATAAGACGAAGCCTAGTCTAGATCAAATTGTTTTGAAATAAGAATTGACTGGTCACTCGCATCAGATTAAAGAAAATTGTTAAATAACAATTCAATAAAAAATTGCCAGGATCAGTAGCGTAGCAGAAGAGAGCCATCAATTGTTGACTCTATGCCTGACAATTAAATTAATGGTAATCGGTCATTCCGTTACACAGTCATCTCGTCACACCCCAATTATGTGTGATGAAATGACTTCCCTCATCTCTTGAAAATTCTTATATTAGCCCTAGAAGTGCAGCGTTACCCCAAAAGTAACCCGCCCCAATTGCATTTTCCATATCAAAAGTGCTGAAATTTTCCATTGAAAAGGGTCTGCAGGCTTCATGGGTAGCGTGGCTCACGCCCTATAATATAGGGCCTGCGCGCTTCCAGGGCTTAAGTTTAAAAAACTGTTAGTGTAGAAGAGTTTTTAAAAGTTATAAGTTTATTTTGACGTACCAGTAGAAGGCTGACAACAGAATAAAACTAATCCAGTAGCTGATCAAGTAGACACGACGGACGACTCGTAAAGGCAGAAACAACTGTTGAGAAATCTTTCTTTAAAATAAATACAATTCAACAAAACTACCCCTTGCCCCCCACCTTCACCAATAAAAACAGAAAAAAAAAACTCCACATGTTAATGTTAGGTACTAAGGTAGAAACAAATGTTGGAAAATCTTTCATTAATGACAACTCAACAAAACTGACCCAGTTATGAACAGTGTTGCTGATCTGGTTGGCACAATGACTCGCTCCCCCCCCCCCCCCCCCCCTTGCATACTATGACTGGCCCCGGAATAAAAAAAAAGAAAGTTAATTTAGGAAGTGTAAATTTGGTAGAAGGGCTTTCTTGAGGATTTTTGCAGTGCAACGCTTGCCCCCCCATTCCAGGTTCTGTATGTTTTTTGTCCCCCACACCGGGTGTCGGATCTCTTGTGACAAAATGACTGATATTCACATTAATTACATTAAATTACATTTTTATTGGTCCCTGAAGGGCAATTTGGACAACTTGGTTTATAATGGCAAACAAACACATACGTACTTACACATTAAAATCCGTGAAATCGGCATTTTTAGGCCAGTTTGGAAATTTTTTCAATTATTTTGTGGGTTTTTTTTTGGCTCAACACCTTGTATCTCTTAAAAAAAAACTCTTTTATGTGTGGATTTTATGTAAAAAATGTTGATTAAAGGCACAGAATATGTGAATTTGCAGTTTCTAAGGACTCTTGAGCTATGGAAGTCACCAAACTATTTGGCGGCCATTTTCCTGCTAATTTTACTTCTTACACTTACACCAGGCGACACCACCTCCTTCAATCGCAAATATCTCGACATCTCTTCTAGATAAATGGATATTTTTTTCTGCGAAAGCAAGGCAAATGAAAGGCTTTTAGAGGACACCAATAACTCTTTATGCCCCAAAATTGACACGGTCCTGATTCCACTGCGTCGTGACGCAAATACATAATGCATAAATACTTACACATATATATACATGGATTACACCAATACAGAACACTTCACAACTGTGCCATTGCTGGTTGCCACTGTGCAGCACACTGTTTTTTTAGCTAGGGTTGTCATATCTTGCTCAAGGACACACCCCAGTGAGCCTATGTGATCCCCGATGCAGAAAGGTTGTATAAGATAGTGTTGATAGGATGCTCTTTTTGTTTTTTGTTGCAGAGGCTGGTGAAAGCATGCTGTTAATTTTATTCCAGCAGAGAACAAGTGAAGTATATGATTGGATTTTATTATTACATGATTTCATTATTTTTGCTGTCCCCAGGACTTTGTGACTGAGAAGAGGCATCAGTATGGTGTGGAATCTTAGCGATTTGTGCCTTTTGTGCGTTCAACAAAATTTAGACAAGTATCCTGACATTGGTTCAAGTTTGCCAACTCACTATAAGGAAGTTTTGGTGGATCGTCTTGCCTGCCATGACAGATATGTCCCAGAGCAAATTGCTCATATCAGCAGTAATTTGTTCTCAAGTCGTTTAAGGCATATATGCTTTGACAGGTATGCTTTATAGTGTATAGTGCAATTTTGAAATAAGAGGTAGTGAGCGATGTACTCTAAGTGACATATGTAGGAGGAGGAAGGAAAGTAAAGATGAGTGGGATTGGACTTTTCAAAAGCTAACTTGTCTTGAATTGTTAAACATTATCTTAGGTTAAAGTTTTAACTCTTTGATGTTTTGTAATGGGCATTTATTGATTTATTCTGTTTTGGTCAAAAGGTTTTAGGGAAAGTAGGTGTGAAATGTGCACTCAGTGTGACAGTCAGTTGTTCTAGGGTCTTTTCTGCCTTAAAGAAGTTTGGCCTTAAATTTTACGGGAATTATTTATTTATGTAGAATTTAAACTGTTGGTGTTTAAAGGTGTATTTATTAAAAATGTGCAGTTCTCTTTGTCTTGAAAATTTTTTCATCCTTTATATAAATCTTGTGCATTTAATATGTAAGACTATATTTAGTTTGTTATTGTCTTTTTTCTTCATCAGATGCGATCAGATCAACGATAAAGTTCTTCAGCTGCTCGGAAATTCAAAAGCCTCTTTTGAGTCCATTGTTCTGAAAAATCTTAACTTTGTCAGTGGTATGTTTCCAGTCAGATTGTGCACCTGTTCACTGTGACACACTCGGTTTCGAGCATTCATACACATGCATACATATAGGCTTATATATATTTGTTATTGGATCTGCAAGATGGTGTTTGTGGTAAAAGTTTGATTTTTGTTATTTGGCTCTGACTAAAATGACAAAGATTTTAAAAAATAAAAACATTTAGACTGAAACTATGTCGTTACTTTTGATGGTGCATGTGGAAAAGTGATCAAGTTTGGTTGTCATGTTTTAACTCTCAGATGCTACACAAGAACTTCCAAATGTCTGTGATCTATGACTTTTTTTGTTGTGGATCGTTCGGACTGTAACCGGTATTATATTTCAAAATCATTTTTTAAAAAGATTTCTTACGAATTTTTAATTTGCAACAGAATTGTAAAAATCAGCATTAAGAAGGGTATAATAGACCCAAAGATATTGTTTGGTAGAAAAGTCTCTGTTTTTGTTATAAGATATTGCTTATGAAAGGCATGAATATAATACTGATGACATGTTTGTATATTAGGAGTAAATTTCTTTTTAAAGCTTTATATTTAGGGGATTTCCTCAATAATGAAGAGACTTAACCAACAGGCATTGCAATAATTCATAGATTTGAGAAAATTTTGTGTCTGAATTGTCCCTTTCACCCATGATATGTTCAAAAGCTGTATGGTTACATTCTTGATGGAATTTCAAGTTAAATAACTTTTCTATTTTATGGAGAATTCCTTTCATTTTACAACTTTTCTTTTTTCAAGTTGTACTTTTTAGGTAGGATGGGCAAACATAAAAATATTCCCCTATTTTACTATTTTTTGTTTTAAATATGTAAAGTTAAATGTTGCCACAATGTGGTGGAATCAGGCGATCATCAATTTTTGGGCATGTGGAGTTATTAGTACTATGTTAAAGATTATTCAATTATTTATCTTTCGATGAAAAAAATGCTCATCTATTAATATGAATAGAAGTCGAGCTATTTACAATTAAAGGAGATGAGGGTCGCCTAGTTTCAGAAGCAGAATTAATGAGAAAATGGACACCAAAGTTTTATGACTTCCATAGCTTGAGAGTCCTTAGAAACTAAAAATTATCTTTTTTTTGTGCCTTTATTCGACGTTTTTTTAAAAGTAAAATCCACACAAAAATATGTTTATAAATAGACATAAAAATTGTTGGGCCAAAAAACAAAATTTTGACAGAAATTGCCGAACCGGCAGAAAATGCAGATAACTGCGATTTCATTATTTTGACGAGCGCCTGATTTCACCACAATGCCTGACAATCAAATCGGAAAGCAAATGTGAACAAAACATTCTTACTTCATGCATATTTTTAGCTATCACATGATAAATGATAATTTACATGGATTATGTTTAATCCTTCTTCAGATGCTGGAGTTCAAGCAGTCACAGAGAGGCAGAATGCTTTGGTTATTCTACACATGAAGTATTTGCCGCTCATCACACAAAAATCTCTCACATCCATTTCCTCTCCGGTGTTGTCAACTTTCAAACTGAGACATACCCATCAAGTGAGCAAATCCTGGTGCTCACAAGCAGGTAAGACAATTTAGAGAATAACAGAACGAATCATTTTTTCTTTTTTTGTACTATTCTGAAAGTCTTGTCATAATTTAGCTTTGTAGCTGCCCCATCAGAGGAGTCTTAATTAACCATTCATCGACTAGAGGCACTGGAGGTGCCAATAGGTCTAGATCTTGAGGTAAATTTACAAAAGTCTGCGAGTGGTTTGTTATACTAAACTGCTAGATCTACACGGGTCGGCATCATGTGTCTGGGATAGACCATGAATCCAGCTTTTTTGTAGTCGTTTTCAGAGCAAAGGTGATCCGATGGCAGTTATCCATTAGTGTACATATGGATAAGGAACCACAATAGAATTGAAACTTAGGAACTATACAATAACTCTACCTGTGAGGCGATCCTGGTGGAACAAAGACAGTTTGTGATCTACGGAAGTATTAAAGTTTTAATTCATCGGAGCAGGTATATTAAGTTAATGAAGTATAGTGGTAACGAATGCAAACTGAAATAATACTATAAATAGAGAAATGAATAACTTGTCCATATATTATTATAGTAATGCAGTGGAAATTGGCTTGTTAGAATCATGTTCTTTTCCTGACATAATTATGGGGGTTTTTTTTCCAATAATTTTCCTTTTTTTTAATGGTTTAAAAAAATATATTTTAGGGGGATATTTCCCCTGTCCCGGTAGTTCAGGGCATGTAACAGGACAGTCCCCTTTTAAGAGTTTAGGGTTAAGTTTTAAACTCTTCAATATTTCCCCTGTTGTGAATGTCATCACTAAAAGAAGAGGGGAATGGGTTTATTTCTAAGAGGAGAAGGGGTTTATGCTTACCTCTATGTCTATCTCTTTTTGTTTTATTTCAAACTCTCTAGTGATAGGTTGTCTAAGTATTTTTTAATTGACTTTTAAAACTTATATAAATGATTTACTAATAACATGCACTGTTCATAAGTACCCAAAGTCTTTGTCATACTCATTGTCTTTTAAGGTAACAGGATAATTTAGTCACTCTTTAGTAAACTGTGGGTGACTTTTTACTTTTCTTTGTCGGCAGTTCTGCAAGACTTTTTCGCACGCAACCCAAACATCAAGACCTTGAAGATAGATACAGAAACTGAAAACATTCCAGTAATTGCTCGTGGGCTAACCTCGTCCTTGGTGAGTTGGCACGTGCAAGTTGGGTCAAATAAGCTGCACATCTCTGAGTGAAATTGATGCTCTCATAGGTTTCATTTTGAACATTACTCAAAATCTGCGCTTAGTTAAGCCTTTACATTTCTATGATTCTTGCGTCTTGATAGACAGTCTTAAAGTAATAATATGCATGATAAAGCTTTGCTCGGGCAGTAGACATAAAGGAAGTAGTCTGCCCAAGTACTTCTCCCCTCCCTTCAAATCTTGACTTCCTTGATATGCTCGAAAGGAAGGACGTGGTCAATGTGTTTAGAATCAAGGAAGGCGTAAGAGTGTGTCCCACTATTTAACAGGCTTAACATGGAATTTTTTTATGGGTAGGGGCTTTTTTAAAATTTTGCCCAGGTGGCCTAACAACCTACTCTTCTATGTTTTTCAACCACCAAGTGATCTTTAACATGAGCAACCTGCATACAGGACCTCTGAAATTTTTTATACTTACCTGAGAAGACCTATAAACTTATATATTAACAATTTTAGAAAACACTAAGGTCTAATGTTTTGCAGAAAAGTATGAAGCTCATTTTAAAGAATGTCAAGTGAGGAAATTGATCCAAGATCACTACCAAGTCAAAAGATTTGTGAAGTGTATGCACAGGGATAAAATAACATACCAAAAAAGCTGGCTCAAGTCGATATTTGTAACTACTTGTTTACAGGTTTAGGCCCATGTAAATTTGATTTGGTTGCTTTTGAAAGTTTACTCATTCATTTTTTTTAGCCATTTAGCTGCTAGATTTTCAACTTTTGAAATCAGTGGGAGTACACAATGTTGTTTTTGTAGACTAAAAGATGTAAACTGTATCTTCACAAATTTTTGATGCACTAATTTTTTTTCCACCTGACCTTCAAAATATTTCTGGATTTGTTTTTTAATTCACTATTTGCTTTCTTCTACAATTAAACTATGCTGTTTGTTTGACATAAGGTGATGCAGGGTGTTAATAGGCACTCTGTTTTGGTCTGCCCCTTTTACTTCTTTTCAGTATTACTATTGTCCTAGAGTGTCCCTTTTCTTATGTGGATATTATCATGCCAATTTCTTTTATATACCACAAAAGAACAGCATTGGCATCGACATATATTTTGTAAAAGTCATTGTTTTACATATGCATTTGATAATTATTTATCTTTTCAGAATGAACTGGCTATCAGTTTTCAATCAGTCACCGATTCTTTGATTGAGGTTCTTGCTGAATGCTGTCCAAATCTTCAAAGGTTTGTTTCTTTTGTTTTAGGCTCAAATTTACAAAATGTAATGAGGTGCCAGGCTTAGCTTTTAATGACTTCTCTGTCCACTTTCAATCATCCTTCATGGGGAATATGTGATTTCATTACATGCACTTCATGGAACAATGGCTCAATGAACTTGTCAGTTTAGTAGTGAGGGAGGGAGTGAGTTAGATTATTAAGAGGGAGAGAATGAGAGGTACAGAAAAATTTGGATGTGTTGATATTATGCTATGTGTGTATCATGTATATTTGTTTATCACAGAAACAAATGAAAGCACACAGTTAACATCTTAAAGATCAATAAAATATAGATCTATCTTATCCTATCATGTCTTATCCTTGTCTGATTATTGAAGCCATGAGAAGGCATTGCATTATAATTTTCCTCTTTTTTAAAATCCTTTCCAGGCTGGATCTGAATGGAGCAAAGCTGGTTGGCAAGGAATCTCTCATAAAAGTATGAAATATTTAATATTTCTCAATTTATGTATTCAGTACTTGTTATGCTTTTCCAATACACTGTGTCAGTATTATTTCAGTCTCATGAAAAGGGGCAACACGAAGTTAGGTTCACTTCCTCAAAATGTTCCCAATATTGCTTCTGTGTAAACCAGCAAGCTTGCAGCTGGGGAAAATCGAGGCGGAAAAGTGTCTCAGCATCAGGACAACAGAGGTGGAGGAAGAGAGGAAGGCCAATATCTATCTGGGAATGAGATCTGGAGGCAGATTTTAGGCATATGGGGCACAGCTGGCTGGAGGTAGAGAAGATTGCTTTGAACAGAGACAGATGGAAAGTCCTTTTTGGCAGCTATTACCCAATACCACAGTGAAAGAGGCAAATGATGATGATGAGCAAGACGTGTTGTTGGAACACTAGAACTCAAATACAACATACTGAGGATGGGTGCTTATCTCTCTGTGAATGTGATAAAATGCCTGTTTGCTTAATGAAGCCTTTGCAAAACATTAAGCTTGTTTGCTTAATGAAGCCTTCTGTGTTGTAATTAGACTTAATTTTATGTCACATTTTAAGACCTTTCCTCTATGCAGCTGTTATGACAATTATGGGAGTTAAAATGAGATCAGATACCTGTTTGGAATAATCAACATCTAGAACTAGAATGGATGCCATGGTTGCATTGCAAAATTGTCTGTGATGCCTTATACCAAATGCACACTGCTAATTGAATTCATTTGACTCATTCAGGGCCAGTCAGATTTTCCTTCATGGGAAAAGCAACAGCTGCCATGTTTATACAGTTTGACCAAATTCAACTAAATTCAATGTGACCTTCAAAACCAAACGCATTCGGTGTTCAAGGTTACAAATGGAATCAGTTGTATTGTGTCAAAATGGCAGCATTTGCCCTCCATGAAGGAAAATCTAGCTGACGGCAACTCAATTTGATTGAATCAGATTGACATTGTGCACTGGGTATTAGAGTTCCTCTCTTCTTGCAGCTGTTCCAAGCCTGCACTCAGCTGCTTGAGCTTGACCTGGGCTATTGCAGTCGCCTAGCGGCTGCTCCAGAAAACGAAGCCCTATGGACCCTCCCGCAGTCTCTGACCTCTTTGTCATTGTGTGGTATGATGATGCCCGATGAGAAGATCCTTGTGGAGTGTATCACGCGTTTACCTCATGTGAGGAAACTGAAACTGTGCGGGGTGCCAGCTTTAAGTGACAGTTCCCTAGCTCAGGTAGGTTGCAACACAACCTTCACACTTCTTGTTAATATTCCATGTGAATCAGTGTACAGAGTTTGTCTGTCCGTACTTCCATCCCTGTGTCATGGCTTTAGATTTATATTTGTAAGCTCTCTATTCAGTTTGCTGACAACAACGTACATATCATTTGTTTTACTTTGGAGCAGTTAAGTGGTTCCTATGGTTGTAGGTTTTCAAGCAAAGGAAACATAAAAAAAGATTCTGTACGTTTGGAAAAGTGCTTACAAAATTATTGTTTTTACATCAGTTTTGATTAACTTTGTTCACATAAACATTACTTTTTATAATAATATGTTGGATCTGTTCATTTTCATTTCAGATCGTAGAAAAGATTGGTCATCAGCTAACGTCTGTCAATCTTAGTGGAGTTTATGCACAAGAAATCAGTGATGAGGGCTTGGAGTCTGTCGCAAAATACTGCACCAACCTTGAGGCATTGCACATTAGTCTTCTGAAAAACATTACAGGCATAAGCCTCAGGCCAATCTTTGCAGATGCACAGAGGGCAGCAAAGATCAAAACTCTCTGCATCAATAGCAGACTGGTAAGGGCCATTGTGAGGAAGATGTATAGTTATGTCATCTCATGCCATGATGATTAAGATGTTATTTCCTCTTTTAACAATGAAGGAGTCCTGCCAAATCACCATTTCTGTTCTGCCCCCCTTATTTTTTTTGCGGGATGGGGGTGGTATGCAAGGTTTTACAATTTTCTGCTTATATTGCTTAGATTAGTTATAATGCTTTTTATTTTGGTTGCATTTGAATAATATTCATTCTGTAAGGATTCTGTAGTCAAAGTAAACCAAGTAGGCCTACTTTTGTCTTCTTAACTCTTTTGTGTATACTATGTATGCTTTGGGGTGGGGTGGGGTTTGATTTAGCACCGTGTATGACACTTTTTCCAAGACTCATGTTTAAAAGAAAACATTTGTTTAAGGAGGCAGGAACTTTACTTAGTCACACTTCTGTGGATTGTGTTTTCAGATGGACATCAGTGTTCTGGACCAGGTGATGTGCAGCTGTCCCAACCTGGACGTCTTGGATATGTCAGGGCTCGCATGCGTGACTAATGAGATGTTGATCTCCCTGGCTGACCATTCCCCCAACCTAACACAGATCTACCTTAAAGGATGTAAACAGGTATTTTTTTGCAGTGTCATATAATGATTTTTGTATTTTCATGAACTTACTTCAAGTGCCCAAAAATTCTTGACCTACAAATGGAAAAAAATGATTCTTTATGACTTCTTTATTTCTTTTTAATTGTCTTTTTATCTGACATTTTCCTGCGTATGAGGTAAGATATTACCATGGTTCATTTTGTTATTTTTAACGTATGGTCTCAACTAAAGTTGTTCTGAAGTTCCTTTGGGAAGGTCTTGGATTTGGATTGAGGAGCAAAAGTCCAGAAGATTTCTTAAATTTTGTAAGCCTCTGCAGTTGTTCCATTATTTGTCAAATATTTCATCAACCTTGTAAAACAAAAGTATTTGTGCAGGTTTCTTTTAACAAAATTATTGATGATAAGTAGAAGTGTATTACAAGACACTGGTAGTTTGTTAACATTGTTAGTTAATGCATCCATTAATCTGGAAACATATAATGACTTTTTCTTTGCAAAAAGGAATTAAGAATCATTCGACTTTCGCTGGTTGTGAAAGGTCTTGGAAAATATATCTGTGCTCCTGGAACTTGTTAGGTTTTAAGTTTTCACTTCCTTTCTACTGATAATTTATTAATCTTTTGAAACAGGTTACAGATGCTGGTGTGTGTTACCTCTCAGGCATTTGCCCCTTGAAGTGTTTGGGTCTGTCAGGAATTCATACGCTCACAGACAAGAGCATATTTTGCCTGGCCAGTAGCTGTCCTCATCTAGAGGAGGTCTACCTGAATGGCTGTGCCTGTGTTTCACCTGTTGCAGTTCAGTACTTAAAGGTGGGTATCTCTGTGTTTACCACTCAGGCATTACGTTTCACTGCGATAACAATATTCTGTGAATGGGAGGAAATTGGGGATTTCAAGAACAGCACAAAGATCATACCTCCTCCAACCTCATCAAGCCAATCTTCTTTTCTTCCTCTGTCAACAAGCAATTGGTCTCCACTCTCCTTCCCATAAGTTTGAATGGATATGTTTTACCCAATGCTATTTTGAATAAATCTTCTAAAAAGTAAAGTCTATTTTCTGTGACAATGAGAGGTCCAGCTTTTTGTGTATCTTTGGTTTAACACATTCACCCAAAAACTAGCTCCTTAAAGTCTTACCCTCTCTGCTCGCTATATGCTGTCAATTTTTCTATGCCTGGTTACAGAAAATATGGAAAGCAAAAGCAGTACCCATGTGGGTGTATGGAGGATGCCACTTGTAGGATTTACTTCTATACTTTCTGTCTTTTGTTTCTGACTGCAGTAAATGACCATTACTGTGTCAATGTGCTTCTCTTCACTCAAACAAACATTAGTACCCATACTGAAGGCATGAGGTTTTTCCCAGTTGAGGCCTAAGCATTTTGCAATCTGAACAAAATCTCAGGCATTCCTTGACATTGATGTTTTAAAACAGAACTATAGTATCGAACTTACAAGTCTGAAATTTGGGCAAATTTTATTTTTCCCAGAATTGATCGCTCGAAGATCTTCTTGCCTCTTGTCTCAATAAAGTCCAAATTCATAAACTTAGAAAAGACCACATTGGCCCGAAATTTATAGTCCAAATTTACTTAATGAAAAACCACATTAGAGCAAAACATGCACAACAATTTTCTGCTTTACACAGGCACACTTTTTAACATTCCAGTACCACATTTTTGCTTTAAAAAACCTTGGCGTACAGTTTGTTGCTTTTTAGGAATCTGTTAACATAATTATTAAGGAAGGCTGTCTTATAATAGGAGACTGCAGTATTTACCTGCTTTGAGGACTAATGTGAATTATACCTGGAAGTTTTTTAATAATGGGTGGGATGTATTCACATGTGTTTACTAGTTTCGCACACTCACACACAGGCACATTTAAACACACACACACACACACACACACACACACACACACACACACACACGTACACTTATGTTGGCACACACACACACTTGCCTGCTCACACACACGCACACACATATAAAGTTTAACAGAAAGTGCATCTGCTACGAGGTAGGGCCTTATTTCAAGTCATAATGCCGAAATATATATATGATGCTCTGAAGAGAAGTACATCTATTCAGTTGTATTTATCTGCATTTTTTGGGCATTTCTTCAACAGAGCAAATTTATTCTTTAATGTTTTTACTGTTAAAAAAATGGGGCGGGGTTGTTTTTTTGGGGGGGTGGGCTGCTAAAGGTATCTTTATTTCAAAATATTAATAATAATAATAATAATAAATAATAAATAATAAATAGCATTTGTATAGCGCATATCCCCGCTCAACAGTAGGCTCTATGCGCTTTACACTATATTATTACCCCAGCAGACCATAGAACGCTCCAAAACATTCTCAGCTTCCCGGGAAGCATACAGTGCAAGCAGCTGATTAAGCGCTCAAACACTAACAAACTGACAAGATCTTTCGCTGTCTATAGTCGGGTACCCATTCCCACCTGGGTGAAGTGGGGAAAATTCGTGTAAAGTGCCTTTCCCAAGGACACAACGTCGGGCCCCTGACGGGATTCGAACCCACGACCTTACGGTTGCGAGTAATATATTAATAACTGTTCTCTTTTTCAATGTTTACCCTTCAGGACCGTTGCTTGAGAAGATTACGGGTGAAGCACAACATACCCAATGCCAGCCCAAATCAGTTGATGGCTAAGAACTTGGATACAGGAGAATTTTGCCGGGCAGACCTTCTCTAGCTCTACACAAACTCTGGTTTTTGTTTGCACGTTAATTGCTCTGCCCCCAGCTATCTGTGATGATTTGGACTGTATTTTACACCTTTTCTTTGGAATACACGTTTACACTCACAAGTGTCATAGACTTGATGAACAAACTGTGATTTGTTCAAAGCGCTTGAGGTAAACAAAACTGACTGTTGACCCTGTGATGGTAAGGGTCTAGTTGAGGTCTCTGTGACTAAAATAAGTCAAGACTATCTTTCCTGCATGATGTTATGGCTGTCTTCCATGTTGGTAACCTCAGAGAGTGGGGACCCCCGGATGCGCCTAGTAGGTCTAGTATGTTCCAAATGAAGACCTCATCTAGACATTTACCCCTGTGATTTTTAATTATTATTTTTTACGGCAGCTTTTCATTGCATTATAACGGGTGGATGACATCAGATTATCACAATCATTTGTAAAGTGTTTTTTCTGAGAAGTGGAATTGACTAATTTCGTACTACACCACATTGTGCTTTATTTTTTGTGCATGATGGTTGATTTATATGACATAATTTCATATGAAAGTAACAATATGAAAGACAACCAGGAATAACATTTTTTTTACGTTTAAACATAGAAAACTAACCAATGTACTGAGCACCACAACTTGACATTTACATTTTTCTTGCATGCATTCTATATAATGCAGAAGAAAAACAAAAAACATATATACTTGCTCACATGTTGTTAATGTGTTGCATCTTACTAATTAACTTAATTAAACCACGAATCCGACATGTCTAGGAAATGATTTTGTGAAATTCATTCAGTTCAGTGTTGTATGCTTTACTTTTTGGAAATTTAAATAGTTATTCTTGTTCGTATGTATCATAAATTTTCATAGCTTTGCATTTGCATAAATCAAGGATCAGTTCCAATAATTTATAGTTGTAGCACACAGATATTGCTATTGGACCACAGTTGTTAACATTTTTTTGCTTAGAAAAGGCTTCTGAAAGAAATGTTGTCATCGCAGAGCCAAGAAAGTACTTTTACCCTATTCCATTTCACAACCGAGTTATTTTGGCCTGCTATATACCTGCACTTTTTTATCTGAATATGCCCAGTTTCAAATTATTTTGATGCCACACAGCTAAAGGTTCAAGGAGGATATTTTGGTTTTCTCTCTTTTTCTGAAAATCTAAAGTATCTGATATCATGTTACAAATGTAGTGCTTTCATAATTGTGTTGATCAAATACAGATACTTTAAAAAAATCTTTTTTTTCTTTTTTTTTTTCTTTGTTTAGTTTTTAAGATTATTTTTTTATTATCATGGGTTGTTTTTTTTACTTCTGAAGTCTTGTATCTTTTAAGCGTTTTTGTTCTCATGAATTCAATATTAAGGCTTGTTCCATTCTCTAGTACTTTCTATTTTTGTATTGTTCTCGACAACTTTCCTTATGTCTCTTCTTTCTCGTATTTCTGGCCTCTCTTACTTCCATAACAAGTGGTATGAGGATGAAGTGGTAGGTCTTCTTTCTTAACTATGCTCTTTTTTGTTTCTGTGTGTATGTCTTGTTTTTCCCAGTGACTGTTTCTTTACTAGCGAGCTTCTCTCAAACCTCTCTCATTCCTTTTTTGCGTAGACCCCCAGTACCTTCTAAATGAAAAGCTTAAGGTAGTGAACAACAGTTGATAAGTTTGTCTTGCCATTTTTTACTGCTTGGGGAAGCTAATGTCCTTTATTTGAAGAAGTAGAAGTCAGAGACTGTTTACTTATTGATGACCATCTTCATGACAGAGTATTTCCCCTCATGTTTGAATATGTTTATGGATCCAGCTATTTGGCATAGATTTTTTTTTTTGGTGGCAAGCAGCAGTATGGCCTGCTGGACTCGAAAGACCAAATATCATTTACACAATTTTTCAATAGTTGTGCATGTTAGACATCCTAGATCAGACAAGCGTTCTGCCCTAGAGGCGACTTGTACTGTCTGTTCTGCTCCATGGTACAGAAACTGAATGAAGCTCCAGCTATATCTTCCTCTCCCCTTGAAAACTGTGATTATTTGCTTCAGATAGTAAACACAACTTATACTCTGTGGAAGAGAGATGAAATTTTTGTCAAGAAAAGAGAATGCGAAATTAGCTTTTTGTTATTTTCAAATCATATACAGTACAGTACTTGTAATGAACACTTAACAAAGCAGAAAACTTCCATTACTGGCAGTGTCTGATTTAGTCTTAACAATTCTTACTCTGTTAAGAATCTCAGCTTCAGTGCCAGGCATTCCTCGCATTGCATAATTTTTTTCCAGCAAACAGGTCAAGAGGTTTCCAAGCTGAAATTTTAGTTTAGGCAATACATTTGGTTTTGGCCATACGCACAAAGCCAGGAAATATGTGTCTCTTCTGGATCCATCTATAAGTTGTCATCACATTGAAGTGCTGTGTGTGGGTGGTTGGTGGGTGCTCTGGTGTGGTTTGCTCCTTTCCTACATGTATTGTCCTTATCTCTCCTCCTTTTTTATGTATGTTACTCTCTTGTTACATGTCTATTCTTCATCACTTATATGACCTTATTGTGTTGCAAGTGCCATTGAACTCTTACTAATACTAAAAAAAGAAAGTGAAGGTGTTGTGCAAAATTTCAGTTGCCAGCATCTGAGAACTAGAAAAACACTTTTAATTTTAGTAGCAACTTGATAATGATAATGTATTTCATGGCTTCAGAGTTTTTTTCTTGCCTAACATATGTGGATAAAATGTCTTAGATACAGTCTGCTATGTCTTTACAGATCTTATTTTGTCCACTGGGTGGCCTCCTTAGATGTAACTGTCATCTATGTTTATATCATATGCACAGTCAGTAATATAAAATTGAAAAGTTGCTATTTCCGTTCCAACTCCTTGTTGACTCCTGCCTCAACATGTATGTGTAGTATAACATATATATAAAATAAACAGTTCTAGATGCTTGAAAGATGAAATCCAACTCCAGTACTGTTTTGTGGTGGGTTAAGTCCATTCATCATTACAAACCTTTTTTTTATAGCTTGAAGTTTGAACTATTCACACAGGAGGTTTTCTGGGTTATCAAGTTGTGCCAAAGGGCTTTTGTGACAAGTGACTTGTAACGCAGACAGTTTCTGTCCCACTGTTTAACTGGGGGTTTTTTCAGCAATATATTGTTTATATTACTGCCTTGGAATTCTATTGAATTGAGCATTTATATCACCGTGTCTGACTCTCCATATTCGACAGAGTATTTGCCGAGGTGACTTGCACTATTCATATTCGTGAGCACATAATCGTACAGTTGTGTATATCATTATGTACCTCTTAACTTTAACTTATATTTGATCAATTGGTAATTAATTCCCTCATTCAATCTGCCTTACAGGATTTCATTGTCTATCGTCAGGGCAGTTGTACCTAATGAATGACAGAGATTCTTATTGATGACTTTACCAGTACTTGATTTATTTTGAAATAAGTATTGCTGCTTCATTCCTCCTTCCAAAAATGAAAAGAAATTTTTTTTTTAATACAGGGTGATCCAAAAAAAACTGTACAACTTGTTTTGTAAATATCTTCCTCCATACTGAAGTTTTGCATTTCAGATTTGAACATAACGTTTGGAAGCCAAAAGGAATTTTTCTGATATTCATTTTAGATAAGTCCGTGGAATGATTTTGCTCTATATGGCGCATTAAAAAAACGACCCATTTTCAACCTTGTTCCCGTTTTCGTAGCATGACGCACCCACCACTAAAAGTTGCAACAATCGAACCATATTGCAAGCTACAGCGATCTAACGAGTCAACAAAAGTCTACAGATATTATTTTTCCCAAATGTTGTTTGCCTGCTGAGATCATGGTTACGCTTAGTAAAAAGCAGAGAGCTTTTTGTATTGAACATTACCTCTCCACAAACTCACCATCCTTGACATTTCGTAAGTTCTGCGCACGGCATGGAGAGAATGCTTAGGTGCACTCAAGACCTTTGGCGTCATGAGAAGAAAAGTTCCGTCAGTTTGGATCTAGAGGGAATCAGAACTAAAACTAAAAATTTCCTTAAAAAGACCATTGCAGGTCGAACACGCACCATACATAGCCCTTTAAACGTCACCAGAGTGCAGATTTCAGTTGTCGAGTCCCATGAGACGTCTGTCCCTAGACGATCTGCAGCTAGGACTTTCTTACACCTCAACAGTCTGCATACTCGTGGCAGATCTTAACCGACGACTGTAACATTTTCATCTTCGCTAGGCCGAGATGACATGGATCAGAGCATGGCAATGTGTTCATGATTCCTCAATTGTCTTGAAAAGCGGGATCATTTCCTCGATGACATTTGGTTTAGTGCAAAGCCAGCCAATTTCCTCCCTGCGGGATATGTTAACTCCAAAAATGCTGTCTTTTGGGCACCCCACTCCCTATTGTCTCTAGAAGCCACATCATATTGAATATGTATAGTGTATGTGGCTTTAAACACTCATGGTTTAGCTGGTCCTTGTGTTTGGGTGGCATTGAACATTTTGAATGACGCGTTAAAAATGTGCGAGTCCAAAGGAGGGTATGTAGAGCACTGCTTCTAGGAATTTCAGAATAAAATCGTTATTTTTTTAAACTCTGTAAAAGAAAGTAAATATTGTTTAAATGTCACAGGGATGGAAAATTAAGTGTCAAAGAGAAAATAAAAAGAGACAACCAATCTTTTCACGACGTCCTTTACAAGATTTTAAAAAAATTGACCTTTGCGTTTTTGGGTGCTTTTATCTTTAGGCCATTTCCGTTTTCAAAACGAGTTTCTTCTTCTTGGATTTTATGTCAAACGAATTCCTTTTGAATGAATTATATCTGTTCCAAATTACAACATTCTAGCACAATTTTAGTGTGAGATATTCAGAAAAGAAGTTATACAGGGTTTTTTTTGGGTCACCCTGTAGATAAACATTGTTGTATGAGCCATTACGAATAGATTGGATTTAGAGGTTTGCAACTTTGCACACTTTTAACTCACTCAATCCCATGACCGAGATATCTCTGTCCGCTCGCGGGCTGCGTTCATTCCCACGACCGAGATAACTCGGTTCTATAGTTTTGTTCCGTATACTTATTTCATTTCAGAAAATGGCTTCAAGTTTTATATAAGGTCAAGTTATTAATTCCCCGGCCATTTCTGCCTAGAGGGGGACTGGAATTTTGTTTCAACTGTCAAAACACAAGGAGAAATCGCGGTTTTTATAAAAACACTTTCAGTACTTTTGTTCACACGAATCAGCTGAGCATGTCTCGCAATCGATTCTCTCTATCTTTCTCACACATGATTTTTTTAATTCATGAAAGTATTCAACAGTCGTTTTTATACAATATATAGATCTAGACACTCACAAGTATATTTGAATATCAATTTAGGCTTGCTCTTGCTCATTCAGCCTTGAAAATAATTTATAATCCCCCAAAAATGTCAAATTTGTACAACAACCCAAAGCAAAACTACTAAAGCTACAACATACTTCAAATTTGGCTCGTCTAAAGACCCATCTTAGGTTGTACTTTGTGCCAAATTTCAAAGCAATTGGATTATATTTATGGTTACTAGTGGGCCCTTACATAAGTGCCAAAATGACCGGTTTCTTGGTACAATTTCGGGACAAACTCCTGGGATTGAGTGAGTTAAACATTACTTTTTAAAATTTGTTATTTTTACTTTGCTCAATATGTATTATGTGGGGGGTTTTTTAGGTTTTTTTTTTTTATAGTTTTCAAGTTTAGAAAATTGTAAGATCATACAACAGTTCCAAAGAGGAAAGTTGTTCAATTTTTTAACGGCACTACTGGAAGTGACTTGCTCCTCGCACCTCGAGACGCAGAAACGTTGATGCATTTGCCTGATGATTATTTCTACAAAAATATAATATAGAGCATGTGTACTTTTTTTCATATTGAAATTATTGTTGGCTTGAGATGTTTTTAGGGTTTTGTTTCAAAGGACCAGTTGGGGAAGTTCTGATTCCCAGTTTTAAAAAAAGCTGGGCACAATGTGATGTGCAGGGTGACACACATGTCCACACATTATTATCATGTTGATTATGTGGATACATTACTAAATAACAACTGGAATGTTTTCCTGCAGGTACTGGCATAATTTTTCTTTTTTTTTTTTTTATATGATTTAAGTCTGCAATTTGTTTGATATGTTCATAATTTGCTTTGAAAAAAACAAAACATCCTTTATAGAATAGATGCAACAAAAGTTGCACAATAATCT